ACATACATACATACATACATACATACATACATACATACATACACACATACACATACATATATACATAAATGTATACATCTACACATATACACACTGATAGTCGATGATAGTCAGCTAAAAAATTGTGCCTCCTATGGTTCCCAGGTTGTTCCAGCTGATGAGTTAAGTACTTTCGCTTTTCTGGCAGCACTGGACCCAACTAAATATAAGCTCAGTGAAAGCGAAAAATTAAAAGGTTATGTTACCCAAGTTCGAGGTGTCTACACAGAACAACTAAAAAAGGATATCGGCGCCTTAGGCAAACAGTATCCGGAGAAAATTTCGCGTGGAATTGCCAAATCACGGACATGCTAGAAATCTTTTATAATGTATATGTGGGCTACAAATCTTGCACAATATAATTTTTTATGTATATATACATATATGTGGGTTTGCATAACAAACAAACACATGCATAATTGTATAAATTCAGCTTGCTTTTGCAAAAAAGCATTTTAAAAAAATGAGCTTACCTCGGCAGACTGAATGATTTCCGGATACAGTAACGATGTGAGAAGCAGCGCCCTGCTTAGGAACTTAGCCATTGTCCTAACAGCTTTCTCGGTTTGTTTTGTGGACTTTGCTAGCGAGCAGGCGCTGTGCTGTGCTTGGTGAAAACAGTTCTTTGCAAGCGCGTGGATAGGTACTTTTTAACTCGCTTCAAGCCCTTATATACTGAGTAGCACCGGCGTCTATAAGTCCGGTTTCGGGTCGGAAGGTGGGACACCTAGTGGGAGAATGAGAGAGCTCTATGCTCTGCGCCTTCTACTACCACCTTCATTCTTGGACAAATATTCATTCATCCGCCCAGGAAACTGTACGTCGCGAACTATTGACAAACACTTACGCACCACACTCCATCCTGAAATTTGTTGAATTAGCCCATTGGACATCCGGAGTGTGTCAGAGGCTGATTTTTGTCTTCGAACTGGTGCAAAATGAATAAAATTCGAGAAATTTGCTTCAGGGGCCTATTAGAACATCATTGCGCCTCCTGAGAAACTTATTTATTGAGACTGCTCATAGTATGCAATTTCCTGGATTCATACTATTACACGTCCGCTAATGTGATAAATTTGTCGTAGTAGAATAGAAAGGTATATTAACGAAGGATGAAATAAGAATCAAAAATGAAGGTAGGAAATGAGAATAAGAATTAGAAAATTTTCGAAATTAGTAAAATTATTAAAATGGTAAGAAATGTTGTATCATGTCGATCATGCCACAGCCCGCCATGTAAAGCATGCTGCACCGCTACTTGTCGCACACACAAGCGTAAGGAGCTGTTTCGCTCACTAACAGTTTTGACGTTGTTAATTGTTCATCGTTCGTCCTCAAAACGCCTCGACTCTACATCTCGTCATTCAGCAGTACGACACAGGATACAACAGAAACCAAAGTAAATACATCCTGGAGGTAAGCTTTCTTATTTTTTCATGCATAAATCTGCATAGTTATTTTGATTTCTAATTTACAGATTTGTTTGGATTTTCCGACTATTTTTTGGATTCCGATTTTGTAGATTTGGATTTTCCGATTTTTTTCTTAACGGCACAAAAAAGTTCAGCTTCAAACACAACTTCTTATTCATCTCTACTGACTGTCGCAAGTGGGTGTAGCTGACCACAAGCTCAACAGACTGATTCTCGAGTCTCATGTCAAACTAAGAAGATGAAATAGATGAAACTAAGTGTTTTCCCTCTATTCGCATTGAAACACCAAAAATTGTTTGTTTACTAAGTTTTCCTTCATGACATCATATTCCTCGTGGAAAGCGCTAAGGGTGAGGTTACAACTACTTGCTTAGCGTCCTGAATCTGGGATGATCTTTCGCAATGTTGTTTCAGCTTGCTCTGAGCTTTTCAGATCTCAAAAATTTGAAATCAGATGGCGATGAGTTGAAATGAAGTAGGAAATCGAAAAACATCCTCGAATCTCATGTCAAACTGAGGAAAATAGTACGCATCACTCATCTACTTAGTTTTTCCTTTGCTTACTTATTTTTCCCCTCTTTCCTCTCTGTTGCTTATTCAATCTGGTAAATAGCAAGTGGCTAATCACTGGTTACATTATTGCTATTTATTATGATGCCAGTAGTGCGTTCTCAAAAAAAAAAAAAAAGATGCTATTTTTTGTGTTTATTGCGTTTTGAAATGTTAACCGTCGAATTGAATAGTTTTTAACGCCAGTGAGATTTTTTTTAAATCTCTTTTTTGGCTTTCAAGGCCGGTATATTTGCACCTGTGGACCTACTTTCACATTTTTACTAGTTCTTAAATATGACTTATTACCAGTGATAGCAAAAAGAAAAGTAGAGAAGAATTTTTCTCAATCACTTATCCAGAACTGTGAGATGAATTATTTCGTTTATTATCACCTTGTATTGTCGTTGGATAAAATATAGGGTAGTTTAAATTAGACTTTTTTTCGATTTGGAATAAGAACAAATACAATACTATGATTCCCTCAGTTATGTAATAAACATGTTGTTTTTAAAAAATATAAGAAATAATAGGTAGAAGAATTTTAAAAGTACAGGCACGGAAAGGCAAATACTATACGCACGATAAGGAAAATGCTTAATATAGGCTAATAAATTTTCTATTTCTTAGCTTAAAAAAAGAACAATAGCTCTTTTGCGAAGTAAAAAAAAAACTACGTTTACTTTCCGTCCCTGAACTAAGTTTGAATATCACTTTTTTTTCTCATTTTGATTACACAAGCAAATACTAAATCAAATAAACGGCATCTTTGGTACTTGATCATTATTGTGCATTGCATTTTTTACACTGTAGTTTGTTTCAGGAAACGCATTTTTTGTTCGCTTTACAATCTTCCTCATCCTCCTCCACCTCCTCCTCACCAGGAACGCTATAAGTGAGGCAAAGGAATGCTTTAATAAAAATTCCAGTTTTTCGGTAGCTGTGCTTGTATTTGCTTGCCACCTCATCCCTCCTGGTTCCTCAATTGAAAGTTATCTTTAGATTTCCTCTTCCTCAAAAAAATTTCTAGAAAATGACCGGATAATTACAACTAATATTTACTTTTTATTAGTCATGCTATGATACTCGCTGGAAAGAAGAGGTGCAAATGAGGAATAGTGCCCCACCTGCAAATGATGGAGTCAAGGATTTTTAGGCATCGCCTTTATGCTTTAGAAACGATCATTCTGTAGTTGAAACTTCACAGTTTGAAAGAGTGCAGAAAATGGTTTTGAATATGGAAAAGTTTGTGAACATTCATGAAATATGGGAAGTTTCCAGGAAGTTTTTGTTCTAGAAAATTTTTGGCTTATCATGTTTTCATTTTGATTTATAATTAGCATTTTCAAAAATTTTGATATTAAAAAAAATCTTTTTTTTAGTGTTTGTGCAACAGCGGCACATGCCGTAAATGAAATGCTAAACTAGTTTTCCCCTGAGAAATCGAAATTTATTTCAGGATCGCCAAAAGGCTGACCATCAGGCGATGTAGCAGTGGTCAAAACAGATGGAAAAACTGCCAGCTGCACATAGCTGGAGAAACTGGCTATGAGATATACGTGTATTCCAAGTACAGGCACATGTCAAAGCAAATCAGCGTTTCAAAAAGAGGTTAATTTTCTCCTTGACAGGTCTGAGCCAATCTTATTAGCCTGAGAGTTTGCGTCACTCATAGGAAATTCAACAATAGCGTAGGGTAAATTGACCTAGTTCTAGCCTTTGGCTTTGAATCTGAAGACATCTTTCCGCCACTTCTATACCTTAAGAAGCAGTCTCAAGGAACCAGTGCATAGTTAGCTTTCATGGCTTTAAAAAATAGTAAAAAAAATGCAAATTTTTTAATCAAAATCAACGTCCCAAAACTTCTGCCGTCAAGAAATAGATTATGAAGTACCAATCTGAAGAGTTTTGTTTTGAATAAGAAAGCATGTTGCAGTAAAATCTAACACTGTCATGTGATATAGGTTGAAGGTAAAGGAGTGGAAAAAAATGTACACGACTTCACGGGTCAAAACACTTTTTCTAGTATTACCTTTATAGTTTTCAAACAAAAGATTTCTCTAATTTTTGAATCAAACACTTTTTCGCATTCTAATTTAAAGAATTTTTTAGAAACCTTTCTTTTTTAAAAAAACTTTTCCAAATAATGTTGTACTTCTTTTTCATAACTCACACCAGTCTTTCCATCCCCTTTTAATTTGGTTCCACCAGTGGGCAACTATTCCTTCTACA